AAAAAAAAAAAAAAAAAAAAAATTTAAGAAAATAATATTTTTTCTTTCTCTTCATGAATATTAATCTATAATTTAACCATTATTTAACGATGAAACGGGTTCTTCGTTATTTTTCCTTTCTTTCTTTCTTTAAAAAAGAAAAGGACATTACATATTTTTATCCGTAGTCCCTTCAGATTTGCCTCATTGTTTAGTCATTCGAAAAATTGAATGTTATGCATCGAAACTAGCGTGTCATGCTCAGTGCTTAGCCAAGTAGAAGAAAAAAAAGGATTCATCTTTCCATCCTACCCTTCGTATTTAATCCCTATTGAAAGGAATAAGGAAATAAGAATAAGTTGTAACCTTCTTTTAGAGAAATAGCTCAATTCTTTGGAAGTTGATTATTTCTTCATTTATAAAAATTATCAGGTAATCCCATTGTATAATCTCTAATATAATAAACGATCACTTGTACATTTAATTTTTCATAAGAATAATATTATTAGTTTAGTAGATTTATCTAATATTTTTAACTAGAAAAAAATTGTAGGAAAGAATATATCATTACAATTATATAGAATTTTTCTAAAATTATAAGATATTAAATTCTTACGTTATATTAATATTATTACATTAAACGAAGATTTTTAAAATGTAAACTTTTAATCAAGAAAGAGATTGAAATCGTAAATTTACATTTTAATAACGATGGATTTCAATACCTCTGAAAGTTAATAAGAAACAATAATGCTCCGATATATTAATGGGCCGATATTTAAGACATTCGCAATTTTCGTCCTCGTTTCATTGATTAATTCGACCATAAAGAATGATTGCAACGCGGTTCGCTGCTACTGCAATCGTTCCACTGATTAATGGAGTAATGAAATCTCGTCTAACCTTTTAATGGAATCACGAGTCGCCACCAATAGGTAATCAGACGTAATAATATGGCTGAAAACCGTAGGAACGTGTGCGCATTATGCATAACTGGACAAGGTTATGCTTACAAGAGTTACAAAACGTTTCATTAAATTTGTTGCACACATCCGTGAGAGACGATCTCATCAAGTGATCGATTTCCTTAATAGGATTCCATTTTTTATACGCATATGTATAACTATGATAATGATGAAGGATTGAAATAAACATCTT